TCTATCTATCTATCTATCTATCTATCTATCTATCTATCTATCTATCTGCATGAATCATTACTAGTTTAGAGTATTTTATTATTCTTTCTCTTTGTTAACTGGTTATAGACTTCTTATAGAACAAAAAGACCCACAGACACTAAACGTTACATAACTGCTGATTTAATTTAAATTTAACTTAATTTCTCACTACGACACTTTGGCAGATTTCCAGAGTTCTGCTTCACATTCTTACAAAAATGTATACATAAGTTTAATTTTAAAACATTTATTTTCCACCCAAAGTTCAGCTCACTTTGAGGAAACAGCGCCCTCTTCAGGTCGGTTGCCTCATAGTTTACACAGTGAGTGGAGAAATAAATCTGTTATTCCCTTTTTTAGGTCATTTTAGCATAAATGATAATAAAATTGGCTATTAAAGATCTTCAATAGTAATATAACGACTTAAGAATTGACAGGAGGATTCAATTATATTTTGGTAACAAACCACTTTTACTAATATGAATAACAAACTTAATCCACAGACTGATTTATTTGGCAGCTTATGAGGATCCTAATAAAACTAAACTAAACTAAACATGACAAATCCAAATATGAAAAATTAGGATTTTATGTATCATCTTTCATTGCCCAGTTTTCTGCAATTTTACATGAACAAATAGACCAAAATGTTTCATTACGACACCAAAAAGTCACATTTCCATGTGACATCGTGATTGTAAAGATGTCTGGCCTTCGTTCAGAGTTCAGTCGTATCTGATCAATACTGCATCAATCACACAAATGTCACTTCTGGATCCTTCTTAGACCCAAAATGGCAAAAACGTCTTTGACCTTAGGTTGTGTCTCATTGTGAGTGTGTGTTTTGATGAGTGTGAGGAGGTTTTCTGACATTTCCTGAAGAGCTGATTGGTCGAGAATCCTCTGTCTGCAGCCTCGGCTGGATATCCGACTCCTCCCACATCCAAGTCGGCCATTTTGATTAGGTCATGTGACTAGCGGCTTTCTGAGGTGGAAACGAAACTTTACTTTCTATACGAAATCAGAAGATAAACAATGTCCTAAACCTGACTCTAACCCTGACCCTAAACATAACTCTAACCCTGACCCTAACCCTAACCCTGACCCTAACCCTAAACTATAACCCTGACCCTAACCCTAACCCTAACCCTGTCCCTGTCCATAACCCTGACCCTAACCCTGACCCTAACCCTAACCCTAAACCTGACCCTAACCCTGACCCTAAACATAACCCTAACCAAAACCCTAACCCTGACCCTAACACTAACCCTAAATCTAACCCTAACGCTAAATCTAAATCTAACCCTGACCCTAACCCTAACCCTAACCCTTCATAATAGTGAGAAATAAATATTTTTTGGGTTAAACTTGTTTGGACTTATTGTACAAACCTATTTAACATCCACTATTTTAACATAATATTATGGATAGTATGGTATCTGATTGTGTACAATATGATTTTGAGCAAAGTTTATACCATTAAATTATGCAAAAGGTGTCAGACACAAAACATTTCAGAAACCGTATAAATCAGACATGATACATTTGGCATTATAGGGTTAAATTCATGTCTATATTGCCATGAAGCAATTACCATTTTCTTGCCTGGGATCCTCCTATTGGTGACCTAATCAAAATGGCCGACTTGGATGTGGGTTGTAGGGTATTTTCGAAAGTCTTATAAAAATCCTTTATAGGTTGGAGCTTTGTGGCTGACGCGTGTTCCAGGATCCCAAAAAATAGTTTCCACTGACTCTACATTTTTGCACTTTTATTTTGAAACGAAGGCGATAACCAAAACGAACACAAATAAAATATATACTTCCTAAAATGTCACGAATCTAAATCTAAAATTACAAAACGAGCACGTCACGTGCATGGGTTAGCATGGGTAACACGGGGTAACACAGTCAGAAAACCGTGAGGCACCAACCTTTCTTCTGCCGTATCAATTTTACAAAGACAACCGTACTGGGCACCTGGCGCATAATTACCACGTCATTAAAGGCGCATTAAGTAAAGTAAATATTTTAAATTCACATTTTAAACGTCTAAATAATTTTAACTTAAATTATTAATGTCACTCATTAATTTAAATGAAATACCAAATTCTCATAAACAAATAAATTCAAAATACACATAAATATACATAAATGTACATAAATGGGCATATGGCGCCTACATGGGTGGAGTTGGATATCCATCCTTGGATGTTCAGTAGCTGTGAGCTATTCCCCCTCCGGCCAGCAGGGGGCAGCATGGCTCCACCTCCGGAGAGTTTTACTTCCTGTGAGAGGGAGGTGGGCATTATCTCACCCCGGTTTGGTTCCATTACACAGACGGAGGGGAAAATAAAATAAAATAAGGCTGACTCACAGCTCTGTGCTCCCCAGACCGAGAATTAAAACTTCTCCAAGACCGAATAAATAAAAAAAAGGCCTCTTTTAAAGCTTTACTTAGAGGCTAATTACAATTAGAGGTCCTTTTTGGATGTGGCCTTTTGAAGGAGAGACTGTAATAGCTGCTGATATTCACAAAGGCCCCGGCTGCTTTTAGCTGATTTTAGCTCATTACCGGTAATCACTGATAAACCCGCTGCTCAGAGCTGGTAAATCAGGTTATTTAACCTCAGCTCACACAGTGAATCATCACCGAAACCAAACGATACGATATATAGCTGATTTAATCACCGCCAGAGACGTATAAAGTACTGGAGTAGAAGTACAAGTACTATATAAAAAATTGATTTGAGTAAAAGTTGAAGTATTCTTTTAACTCCATACTTAAGTGGAAGTACGGAAGTACTCCATTTTTTTGCAGCAAAAATTTATGGGTGAGATTTATAGGTCATAGATCACAAAAAGATTGTATAGACATGGAAACATAATGCATTAAAACATGTAGACCGAGGTCCAGCTGCCAACATCTGCTCAAAAGCTTCACTTTTAGAGTCTGAATCCATAAAAACAAAAAAAAAAGCTGACATAATGTCCAGGACATGGATGAACTCACCTGAAGTGGCTAAACAGAAACTGGAAGTATGCATGTTGAGTGTCAGACCAAGATGTATAAAGTACTGGAGTACAAGTACAAGTACTATATAAAAAATGTACTTGAGTAAAAGTGGAAGTATTCTTTCAACTCCATACTTAAGTGGAAGTACGGAAGTACTCCATTTTTTTGTACTTAATTATTGCAAGTAGAAGTATTTCAAAAATTGCTAATCAAGTATCAAAAGTACAAGTATAAGTAAAAGTACAAGTACTGTGTATATTAAAAAAGGCAGTCAAAAGTGTGATAGATATTGTTTATATTATTTCAAACGTGTGAAAGGCCATACAGGTGTTTACAAAAACAGAAAACTACATCTGCATTAGCATCAACAGCACTTCATCTACTATTATTTATTATTCCAGAGTCAGAATCCTGAGCTGAGCCTTTATGCTAGCATGTAGCATACAGCTAGCCAGCTAGCTTAGCTTCAGCTAACGTTATCATACAGCTAGCCAGCTAGATTAGCTTTAGCTAGTGTTATCATACAGCTAGCCAGCTAGGTTAGCTTTAGCTAACGTTATCATACAGCTAGCCGGCTAGGTTAGCTTTAGCTAACGTTATCATACAGCTAGCCAGCTAGGTTAGCTTTAGCTAACGTTATCATACAGCTAGCCAGCTAGGTTAGCTTAAGCTAACGTTAGCTGCTACGTCCTGAGTGAACAGGGAGAACTGAACTAGCGCTTATTTACTAGCTTATATATAATTGTATTTTTAATTTACCTTGATATGCTTCTTCAGATTAGCTCTTCAGAGCTAATTAGCTCTTCAGAGTTAATCAGAGATTAGCTTTGGCTCTGACTATGACTGGGGATGATTTATTACGTTTACATATCAGTAACGCGTAACGATTCAGCCCGTGAAAGTAAAAGTAAAAGTATTAAATTAATCAAAAATATGTAGTGGAGTAAAAGTAAAAGTAGGGAAAAATATATATACTCCAATAAAGTACAGATACTGCATTTTGGTACTTAAGTACAGTACTTATAGTTCTACTTCCTTACTGAACATCTCTGGATACCGTACACGGAGGTAAAAGTAGGAACAAACATTCTGGTGGTCCAGAATACAGAATAAAGATAATATTATAGAATATGACAGATAAACAGCAACACAATGGAGCCAAACGTAGACATCTGGACTGATGTCAGATCTGGATACAGTTTTTTTCTCC